TAAAATTTTGAATGCAAGTCAACAAAGGAGATGCCATGGCCTTTCACCTGTAACCCATCTCGAAAGGGTTAAAGAAAAGACATTGGAACAGTGGTAATTGTAGTAGAGAAAGACAGCATAAAAGCCAGGAAATCAATAGCTTGAATGGGGCATGCACAAGATCATGCCCAACCTCATTAAGGTCTCGACAAGGCAAGGAAATTGGGAGAAGAGGATTGAGAAGACCAAAAAAGTGGAACAGAATGGAGAGGACGGGGAAGAAACACCTCATGGTACCAGGAAAGGAGAAAGACCATCAGCAGGGTCACCCAACAACCAGTAAAGGCTGAGACAGGAATCCATCAATGAACAGTCAAGGAGGTAATAAAGGCTGAAAAGTAATGCACAGAATTACTGCCAGGAAGAAAGGGGTGGTGGAAGGAGCAATGACAAAAGACTCAGAACAGATGGTAATAAACAAATACAGTGGAATAACAACAAGAATGTGATAAAAATAATGCCATATCAGTGAAAAGAACCAGCACAATAGGCAACAGATTGGGCAAACTCCATGCATGAGGGAGGATATCCCTCTATTAAGAAGAGATGCATGAGAGTGAGAAACTAGAGAGTGAGAGGGGATAATGGGAAGGAGGAGGAAGTCCAAATATCAAGCAGACCATGGCAAATGTGGTCAAAGAGACACCAACAGTAGGGCCCCACAGGGAGAGTAGTGTGTAAATCGGAGGCCTAAAAGGAGGAGACAATTAGGTGAGTAGGTATAGAGAAAGAGGCAAGATCAAGCCTGGCTGAGAAATTGATAAGAGATAGAGTACCATAAGAAAGGAAGCCCAGAGATAAGTAAGGTGGCAAAAGCATCCAAGCCTGAGACAAAATAGCCCTGGAATAGGAGCCACAAGAATGGTTGGAGCAGGAAAATACTATGGAATAGACTGAGCAAAACATGAATAAGTGAACCATCAGTAAAAGCAGAAAGGGGAATATGCCCATCAAAGAGCAAGAAGGTCAAGCACGATGATGTTGAGTGAACTCCAGTCACCGTGGCAGTTCCTTAAGGAGGGGCTCATAAAAGAGGACAAAGAACCCCAAGAAAGAAAACCTTGGGTCTACAAGGTCCACTGTAGGAAATACATGCCCCAAAGGAATGAGGGGTACTAGGGATGCCAGAATCCCTAGAAGCAAATGAACCTCTCACACAGGGAGAGAACTAGAAAGGTAAGAAACTGGTGCCATAGCTCAGACTGAAGTTGGTTGAGATGAGAGAAGAAGAAAATGCCCAAAAGTACCCAAATGCTGAGTGAGTGTGAGAAAGGAATTAGATGCCAAGATTAGACCCCCTCCAATCGAGTAGCCGAAGGAAAAAGAAGGAAGGTGGAAAAGATGAAACATTTAAGAATTGGCTAACAGATATAAACAGCCAAAGAAAAGGGACACTAGCCTGAGTCATAAATATGGCAAGTGAAGGCCCACATAATACCAATGAATACAAGAGTTGAAGGGAAGAACAAGGAATAGGAAGATGCCAAAAATGACAGAGAAAACAAAGGCAGAATGGACCGAGAGAATCATGTAGGAATGTATCCAGCGTATAAATCGTGACCAATCACAGAACAGGAAAAAAAGGCCATATATGTGGTCAGAAAGAGGAGAAAGGAGACAGACTAAGGTAGAGAAAAGTAAAAAGACTGTTGGCAAAAATTGAGATCAACAGCAAGAGAAAAAAAAGGTATCCACATAAATGTACATGTGTGATAGTCACTTGCAAGAAGAATGATAAATGATACTTCTGGTAAAGGGAAGAATAGAAATGCCTGGAATGGAAGGGTGGGAAGGAGCATGATCTAAATGAGAAATAGGAGTAAGGTGAAAGGTCAAGAAAGATAAAAACAAAACAGGAAGATAAAAAGAATCCAAGGGATCACAGTATAGAGGGATAGAGCAGACGAAGTGGAAGAAGCAAAACAGAGGGGAAAACAAACGTCTACAGAAGCTGTCTGAAGCATTTAGAAATGTCTCACATAAAAAGTGGAGTTAAGAGAGGGAATACAGAAGAACAGAGAAAAAAGACAAAAAACATATAAATGAGGAACTAGAATGTGAATAGAAGGTAAAGGGCTCAATCACAAGCTGGCCAGATAAACAACAATGAACGGGAATCAGTAAAGAGAAGGAAATAAAGTCTACAAATTAGGACACAAAAGTCACAAATGTTAGGGTGATGAGACATTTGGACATAAGAAAGAGGCTATTAGATAAAAGAAACAGCATAAAACCTAATAAGAAAAGAACACTCAAGAAATGTTGTTCAGAAAGTGAAAAAACAAAAAATAAAGAGCACAGGCAAAACATATGGAAAAGAACCTACCAGAAAATGAAATCCAAAAAGAAATTGAAAGGTTAAGGTCATTTCATCAATGGTAAAGTACTACCCAAAGCAAATAAGGTGAAAGTCACAGTCTAATATGTCATTCCCGAATAAGAAGAAAGAATTTCAGCTGACAAGACGGGAGTAGGATGCTCATTAAGTATGTAGTAATCAATAACACGTTGAACAATGGTTGTAATGACCCTAACAATCAACAAGCCTCCAAAAGCAACAGCAGAAACAAGTTTTAAGAGAATTCATGATAGAAGATTTAACCTTTTGAAACAAAAACTAAAGAAAACAAAAATCAGTATAGTTTATGAAGCAAATCACAACAAACTGAACATGTCTATAAAATACAGTGCTAAGTAGAAGAATGAAGATTCATGAGTGCAAGTGCATAGGGGAATTAGGAGAAATGTGTCACCCTCCTATTGGTGGAGGGCTTTTGTTGCATCATGCAGTAGCACAATTCCTGTAAAATCACATCAAAGTAGGTGGGAGTTGCATCAAAGCTAGTGGCATGCAAATCTCTTTGGCAGAAGCATGAGGAAGACAATTAATCTGTGTACAGATATGAGTTATCATATCACAATTAAATACTTACCACAACTTATGTCAATTGTCTTAATGTTCTAAGAGTGATATCAAGGACTCAATAATTTTCTCCTTACGACATTAGTACATGATAAAAGAAATGTCTTATCAATAGTGGAGAGTTTGTAACAGTATGAGACTCTATTTACTATGACATTTCTCTTTACATGACATATGTCATACTAACAGTGGAGAGTTCAGAATGGTAAGAAACATTATTTACTATGATTTTTCTCTTTACATAATGTCTTACTAACAGTACAGTTTGGATAAGTAAGAAACACACTTTTTACATAAATGATGTCTTACCAACATTGGAGAGTTCTGAACAGTAAGAGATACACTATTTCCACTACAAGCCTTCTGATGATCTCTTAAGCTGAGGAAAGAAATTTTGGTAAATTTTTATCAGTTATTTTCATTTTCAACTGTTAAATATGAAATGTTGAGAAATATAAATAAATATTTAAATTACACAACCTTGAGTACTGATTTATATAGTACTGCTGTACTAAAAATTAAAAGCTTAACCATAACAATTTCTATTTGGGTCCAATATTACCCACTTAATTAAAGTATAATCTCAATAACAAGTATTTGATGTACAAAAGCCTGCATACAGTACATAAGTGTTTGTTAAGTTATTTCACAAAATGTATTATGTTTTGATACTAATTTTGTCATCAATCAGAACCATAGAGAATAAAAGTACACTCAGTCCTATATTTTACATTAAAATGTACATTAAGATGAAATGTATTACAAAAACTTAAGAAAAATGTTAAAACAACTTCAAACTAAGACCAGTTTAACAAATATAGTCAACTTGATTCTACCAGATAAAGTAAACTCAAATGTCTCCTACATCTATTTCTTAATAAAACGAAATGAGTAAAAAATGGCAGGTAGACACCAAAAGAAAAAAAACCTGGAAATTAATATTGTACAATCACTAAAAAATAGAAAAATAAAATCACAAGTTACAGAAATTCTAATTTTTCTTACACTCATAAAGCAAAAACTTTTCTATTGAAATCTCAGAAGAAATGTAATTTAACTTTAAGTATATGGGGGAGTCAAAGTGCATGTCATGAGGATTTTTCAACTAAACAACTTTATTATCAATGTATGTTTGTTAACATAAATTGATAATAAAGATCATAATTTTAGAATTGATAGTTTTATATTACTTAACTTTTAATTCCTCAACACATCAAAAAATATTAAGATAAATTTTCAATCTTCACTTCTCTGTATCACATCATGTGTCTACACTTCATACTGTCCATTTTAGATTTTCTTTTTACCTTTATATGATCATATGAGAGTCTCACCAATTACATAATTAACTAGCTTAAAGGTTTTTTTCTTTACTGAAATATAAAAAGAAAATCAAACTCGCATGTGACTCCCATCTCAACCAATGGACCAACCAGTAAACATAGGGTTAAATGGCAGATCCAAAAAGTGTGTGGAAGTGGACACCAATAATGATCCTAAAGTATAGTTGTAGACAAGTGTCTGGAAGTGGGCCATAACATTGATACTAAAGTGTAGTTCTAGACAAGTGTCTAGAAGTGGGCCATAATAATGATACTAGAGTGTAGTTGTAGACAAGTGTCTGGAAGTGGGCCATAATAATGATACTAGAGTGTAGTTATAGACAAGTGTCTGGAAGTGGGCCATAACATTGACACTAAAGTGTAGTTCTAGACAGTATCAAAGTGTCTAGAAGTGGGCCATAACAATGATACTAGAGTGTAGTTATAGACAAGTGTCTGGAAGTGGGCCATAACAATGATACTAGAGTGTAGTTATAGACAAGTGTCTGGAAGTGGGCCATAACAAATGATGTTAAAATATAGTTGTAGACAAGTGTCTGGAAGTGGGCCATAACAATGATACTAGAGTGTAGTTGTAGACAAGTGTCTGGAAGTGGCCCATAACAATGACACTAAAGTGTAGTTGTAGACAAGTGTCTGGAAGTGGGCCATAACAATGATACTAAGAGTGTAGTTATAGACAAGTGTCTGGAAGTGGGCCATAACAATGATACTAGAGTGTAGTTATAGACAAGTGTCTGGAAGTGGGCCATAACAAATGATGTT